CAAATTCTAATTTAATGTTATTCATGAGAAGAGATGCAACAAATAGCTCTATTTCATCATTAGGAATAACTTTGACAAAATCTGTAATGAACGAGTAGTATGTTTGGTCACTTGGGCAAATAGTAGAGTAAAACGAAAGATTTTTCATTGATTCCATAACAAGTTCCTGTCTACGCACGATCGTTTTTGCAAAATAAGAGAGATAGAGTTGAGATAAACCTTCAATCCAGTATCTTTCATTTTCAAAGTATTCGATATCAAATTGTTGCTTCATATTATTGGCAACATCGCCACCATCAATATTTCTAAAAGTATTAAAAACACTCTTCAGTTCATTCCAAATATTGTCGTTCTTGGGACTATTCTCCAATATTGTTGAATAGATTTCGTAATTGTGCATTATTTGTGTGTTTCGTTCTCCCTTAATGTTCTTGATGGACATTGAAAAAAACACCAAAGCAAGAGCCTCCCTTAGTCTTTGTTTTTGAAATAATGCAAATGATTGTTCATTCACTCTCTGTTCAAATGTTACACTGCTCTGAAGAAACTCTGTATGTAATGCGAGAGTAGGATGTTCAATAATGCACTGACATATTATTAAGGCAGTTTGATCATCTGTGTTATCAACGGCATTTTCGGCCTGTACAGAGTAATCCTTAATATGTAATGATACTCTTTCTGACATTTTTTTTGTTGCAATTGTATTAATTTCTCAGAAATGAGTAGTAGCCTCCTAAGAGATGATTTCAGTCCTCTCACATATACTTTATACTATCCAGAGTTTCATCTACTCACCAGTCCTCAATTTTCTATTACACAGAAATTGTTAAGAGTTTAATAAGTAAATGTTTTGGTATAGAAAACCTTCCATCAATATCAAGACTACAATGATCACCACTCGTAGAACCTTAGGAAGTTCAATTCTATTAAGGAGTGATATAATTTGTGTGTCCAGAATCCATGGTGTTTGGAGGTTTGGATCAATTTCTAAATTTACTACTTTCTAAAAATATTACACAACTTGTGAATTAATTTTCAATCAATCTGAAACAAATTCAAAAATACTAAAAAAAAACAAACAATATATGAATAGTTTCGATAATTTATTGTTGACAGATGATCTCTTGAGAGGAATATATGGCTATGGTTTTGAAACCATGAGTTCTATCCAACAAGAAATATTAAATCCACAACAACAACAAACACAACCATCACAACAACAACCATCAAACAGTTCAATGATCGTTCAAGGTCGATCAGGAGAGGGCAAAACCATTGGATTAATTATTAAAGTATTGAAAACAGTTGATTTTCAAAAGGATGATGATGATAATGGTGTAGAATTGCAAGGTTTAATTCTTGTTCCGAATGAATATTTAGGAAAACAAATAACCAAAGCCATGATTTACTTGGGTGAATATATTAGAAATGCAACAATTTCTGATAATGTGAATGAAAATCCGAGAATTCTCATAACCACTCCATCAATAGTCATTGAAAAGAAGATTAATGTATCCAAATTGAAAATTCTAGCATGTGATGAAATGAATGTCATGTTACAAATTGGATCACCAACTAGAAGATGTATTAAGAGAATTTTACAACAAATTCCAAACGAAACTGAAATTATTTGTGTTGGTTCAAGTAAATTGCCACCAGAATGTTATATACATGATCAGCATTTGAAACATTCACGTATCATTCAACAAGATAGTGAATTGGGAAGAAATATTTCTGAAAGTTTTGTTTATTGTCCAAAATTGGAGCAAAAACTTGCAACATTGAAGGAACGTGTCAACACTACTTTTCCATCCAATGTAATATTTTGTAATAATTCTAAAAACAAGGAGAAATAGAAGAGATT